TGCCTAATGAATACAACATGCAACAGACTGATTATTGTGTTTTGTGAAAAACTATTAACTATGCAATTAAAAAAATATTAGCATGTGTGAGTATGAATCATGAGAATGGCAATAAACACAACTATTGCTGAAAGTCTGCAAAGCAGAAAATTTGCAAAGCAGTTAATCACCCGCTGTAAAGCTCAAATAAAACAAAATATTATCCAACAGGAATAGTTTAATTCCAATTTTGTATTTTTTGTTGAAAGGATCTATTAGTACTGCTCCAAAATCACACTTGTAAAATAACTTGTCATCATATCTTGTACATTATTTCAACAAATACATTCATTCTGCTTTGTGTATAACCAAAAAATGTCCTTGTTAAGGCACCACTTTCAACCTAAAAAAAAAAAGAAGAAAAGAAGAAGAAAAAAAGAACGGCAACTATATTTCTCAAAGGACAAAAAAAGGTTGATATTACTGGATGCTGAGGGACTAGTAGTGCAGAATAGACTGGTGGCTATGATTACTAGGCTGGACATTTAAGGGTGGTCTTTCTCGAAGAACATAACCAAAGCTAAATGAAAATCCACCTGGTAATATCATGGAAGTCAATATCTCTTGTAAGGTAAAAAAAAAATGTATGTTTCCCCTTTAAATTACTGAGTAATTCTGATTCTTAAACTAGAGTACAGTATATTTACTGAAAATAACTGGCTTGTATCTAATCTGGTGGGGGAAAAAACTAAGTATTTTAATTTGTTTAGAAATCAGCAAAGATTTAGAAAAAAAAATTATAAAATATGCACGGGTGACAGATGTCCTCAGATACTGATTTCACATCTTTTGTTGATGTGCTGCGGTACAATTCATTTTGCATGGCACTTTAATGTACCTCTAAAATGCCTGTGTGCTAGAACACACCACAGCACAATGCACAGTGTCTTGTGAATTGCACTGTACTGCAAAAACACAGCCTGCTCGAGGTTCTCTAGTGTTGAGGTGCATTTTTTCTAAAAATAATTTTGAATAGGCTGGCATTAAAGTGAACTCCATACTGAAGCAAATGTGCACCTGTATTTATTTGCTGACAGCTTCCTTGGTTGACCCTCACAGTGACCAAGGCTAACTGACCCAGTTGGATTTGTATTGAATAAATTGGTGGTATTGGAACTCACTTCAGGAATATAGTAAGAATGCACAAAAGTGAGCGCTAAGTGGCGAGCTGCTATAACACCAAAAAGGCAGCAAACAACCTTCTGAGACCAAATACAAAATAGGGTGCAGCGCTAAATAATGCAAACATCTGAGTATAATAAAATGCAAGTAAAATGCAATGTCATGAGTCCATAATATGACCGTTAATAATCATATATCAAAAATAGTGCCACTGTTGGTGATATACTAATGAGTATAAATAAAATAGTGTAAAGTGACAAAATGTGAACAATCATCCATTAAGGTGATCAAAGGTGCTATTATAGTGACAAAGTCCTTGTTTAACAGATAGATGTGAAGTCTCAGATGAGGGTGATCCTCTAGAAATCTTCTGGTGATAATCAGATAATAAACTAACGCACTCACCAGATGCGCAATAATGTTGCGCAGTTGAGAACACAAATATCTCAGTGGGCCAGCTGGATCATCCTGATGGACATCAATCCCTGGTAAGGACTTCCATCTAGGTCATCAGTAGAAATGCAGCACCTCACACCTCTTCTTACGATAGGCTCTGTGGGTGGTAAGGCTCAACAAGAGCCCCAAGAAAGGATGCCAGAATAGTGTGATATTGATTCAGAGTATTTATTAATCCAAAACACAGGAATGGGACAGAGTAAAATCGCAGAAACTGACCATGCACTGGAAATAAAGATGGCCGCCGGACCAGCAGGGGCCTCGGCAGCGTGATGTCAGGACGCTGAGGCTCCTCCCTCTACTTCCAGGGAGCCACAGCGTCCTGACGTCATGCCGCCGAGGTCCCTGCTGGTCCAGCGGCCATCTTTAATTCCAGTGCATGGTCAGTTTCTGTGATTTTACTCTGTCCCATTCCTGTGTTTTGGATTAATAAATACTCTGAATCAATATCACACTATTCAGGCATCCTTTCTTGGGGCTCTTGTTGAGCCTTACCACCCACAGAGCCTATCATAAGAAGAGGTGTGAGGTGCTGCATTTCTACTGATGACCTAGATGGGAGTCCTTGCCAGGGATTGATGTCCATCAGGATGATCCAGCTGGCCCACTGAGATATTTGTGTTCTCAACTGCGCAACATTATTGCGCATCTGGTGAGTGCGTTAGTTTATTATCTGATTATCACCAGAAGATTTCTAGAGGATCACCCTCATCTGAGACTTCACGTCTATCTGTTAAACAAGGACTTTGTCACTATAATAGCACCTTTGATTACCTTAATGGATGATTGTTCACATTTTGTCACTTCACACTATTTTATTTATACTCATTAGTATATCACCAACAGTGGCACTATTTTTGATATATGATTATTAACGGTCATATTATGGACTCATGACATTGCATTTTACTTGCATTTTATTATACTCAGATGTTTGCATTATTTAGCGCTGCACCCTATTTTGTATTTCACTTCAGGAATAGTGTGCTCTCTCTGGCTACTCACTATGGACTCCACTTATGGAACTAATGCAACCAGTCCTTTGAAAACCTATTATGCCAACATAAAGCCCAGCAAAAGCTGCATATACACTATACTGTCACACAGTGCTGACTAGCCATTCAGCTCTACTGATAGCAACCTTCGCTAACCACAGCAGTTAACACTACATATACATTATACTGTATATACTGTATATTTTTGTCCATTTTCCCCATCTAATGCATTCTGTACCTGAGCAGACAACAGAGAAGCATGGGGCAGATAAAAGGCAACTACACCCCATGCATTTTTAGTGCTAATCCCACAATTTTATACACAACATATTACAACAAAAAAAGGCGTTTTGAATCCGATCAAAAGTTTTTAACTTTTGCAGTTGACTTTCTCAATTATTTGCTAATTGTACATTGTAAAGAAAACTAATGGCATTTGGCTTTGTAATGGTCACAGAACACTGACCCACCTGGAAATACATAGCCTTTGAAATCTTGAGTCTTACAAGACGCAATCAACAAACTTAAAATTGTCTTACAATTTTTTTTAGATACTGAAATTTTGGTGGCATTGACAATAGCATTCTGGAGCTTGCTCACAGTGAAAGGAAGGTAGGAGGAACACATATTAGAAAAGGAAAGCTGAATAACCTATGTGTTTCATATCTTTTTACCATTGCACATTCCAAACTGATTGCTAAAAAGGGAACAATTACCCATGATTGTCAAAAATATCAGGACAGCTGCTTTTACGCACACATGAAATTTAAAGTGGTTGTAAATCCCAAAAAAATCTAAAGTGAAATTACCAGTCTACCTCAAACAGCAGAGCAGCAGAAGTCATCTGAAATCCTGTCTGACACACTCCTAAACCTTGTGGACAGCCTTCCCAGAAGAGTTGAAGCTGTTATAGCTGCAAAAGGTGGGTCAACTCAATACTGAACCCTACTGACTAAGACTGGGATGCTGCCATAAAAGTGGTTGTAAACCCAAAAAATCTAAATTGAAATGACCAGTCTACCCCACACAGCACAACAGCAGAAATCATCTGCCCCCAGTCTGGCCAGGGAAGGAGCAGCCAGTCATCTGAAATCCTCTCTGCTTTCCTACAGTGAAAAAAACCATCACATGAAAAAAAATTGTGTCGCCACACACCCCCTCCTGTGACTGACAGACTAATTAGGAGTCTCATGCATGAACATGAGAGAAGGGGGGGGGGTGTCTAGCAGCCATCCACACAGATCACTCCCGAAGCAGCCAAGCTCAGCTTGAGCCTGAGGAAATTTGAAAGCAGTTAACCCCGTAAGCACTGGGCAGCATTTTAAGCACAGGAGACTGCTGACTTTCATAGGCTGAGGGAGATGAGCAACTGTTGGGAATTATTCAGGGGGACCTTGCTGACACTATGTGCTTATCTTTACTAACAGAGGAGGAGGGGGATACATACTTTCACAGGTCATCATTATCAATGAAGGGGAGCCAAATAGCCTCACACAGATTTAACCCCACAGCTGCCAGGAAGAGAGCCGAGCAGGAGGATCACAATTAACCCCTCAAGGGCTGGACACTTTTACTGTAGTGCCCTACTTTCAAGTAGTACCCTCTAGTTACACAATAAAAGTGCCCAGCTATTTTGGGAGCGAACTGTGTGGATTTGCTGTGGGACACATGCCTCCTGCTCTCATGTTCATGCATGAGACTCCTAATTAGTCTGTCAGTCACAGGAGAGAGGGGTGTGGAGACACCATTTTTGTTCATGTGTCAGGTTTTTTCACTGTAGGAAAGCAGAGAGGATTTCAGATGACTGGCTGCGCCTTTCCTGGCCAAACTGGGGACAGAAGACTTCTGCTGCTGTGCTGTGTGAGGTAGACTGGTCATTTCAATTTAGATTTTTTGGGTTTACAACCACTTATGGCATCCCAGTCTTAGTCCGTAGGGTTCAATATTGAGTTGACCCACTCTTTGCAGCTATAACAGCTTCAACTCTTCTGGGAAGGCTGGCCGCAAGGTTTAGGAGTGTGTCTATGGGAATGTTTTACCATTCTTCCAGAAGAACATTTGTGAGGTCAGGCACTGATGTCGGACGAGGAGGCCTGGCTCGCAGTCTCCACTCTAATTCATGCCAAAGGTGTTCTGTCAGGTTGAGGTCAGGACTCTGTGCAGGCCAGTCAAGTTCCTCTACACCAAACTCGCTCTTTATGGACCTTGCTTTGTTCATTGGTGCGCATCATGTTGAAACAGGAAGGGGGCATTCCCAAACTGTTCCCACAAAGTTGGGAGCATGAAATTGTCTTGGTATGCTGATGCCTTAAGAGTTCCCTTCACTGGAACTAAGGGGCCAAGCCCAACCCCTGAAAAACAACCCCACACCATAATCCCCCCTTCACCAAACTTTACACTTGGCACAATGCAGTCAGGCAAGTACCTTTCTCATGGCAACTGCCAAACCCAGACACATCCATAAGATTGGCAGACAGAGAAGTGTAATTCATCACTCCAGAGAACACATCTGCACTGCTCTAGAGTCCAGTGGCAGCGTGCTTTACACTACTGCATCCAATGTTTTGCATTGCACTTGGTGATGTCAGGCTTGGATGCAGCTCCTCGGCCATGGAAACCCATTCCATGAAGTTCTCTATTGCACTCTTGTTGTGCTAATCGAAGGCCACATGTAGTTTTCAGGTCTTTAGCTATTGACTTTACAGACAGTTGTTGACTTCTGCGTACTGTGCGCTTCAGCATGCGCTGACCTCGCTCTGTCATTTTTTATGGCCTACCACCTTGTGGCTGCATTGATGTTGTTCCCTGTTGCTTCCAATTTGTTATAATACCACTAACAGTTGACCATGGAATATTTAGTAGCAAGGAAATTTCAGGGATGGACTTATTGCACAGGTGACAACTTATGGTACCACGCTTGAATTCACTGAGCTCCTGAGAGCAACCCATTCTTTCACAAATGTTTGCAGAAGCAGTCTGCATGCCTAGGTGCTTGATTTTATACTCCTGTGGCCATGGAGGTGATTGGAACACCTGAATCCAATGATTTCTAGGGGTGTCCCAATACTTTTGGCAATATAGAGTATATGAGATCTCTCAACAACCACTATCAAGCTATAAAAACAGATAGCATTGCAAGCAGAAATTGCGATACAAAGAAAGCATTTCATGTTGAAAGATAAAACATACTGTACATCCTAGCAGCCATTGTGAAAGGACCAGTCCTGTAAGAGTATAAATAGCTCTTTACTCAGAAGAACTTAATTTGTTTTTACGCTTGTCAGATCTCTGTTTAATGTAAGCATGCTGAGAATCAAGATTAGAACATCTCTTTTTCACTGACCGGTTATTGAAATGTCAACCTAGCCATGGAGTGCTTTCCATTTACTTTAATGCTTGATGCAGCATTTAAAAGATGACTCTACTGAAACAAATCCACTAATAGTCACTGAAACATTGCTTCCATTAACTGCTCGTGATGTAGTCTGCTTTGAAACATAGAAAAGGCTTACAGTGATTTCAGTCAGAGGAAAACACATCAGTGCCTCATATTTTGAAGGAATTGGAGGTCAATGAAACAAAAATAAAATTTCTACTGTAACTTTGCTCCAGGGGAAATTAAAATGATTTCAGAGATGCGATGTTCCTTCACAAAGCTGTAAAAGCATATCTCTGAAGACAGTGGACTTATGAGAATAGAAAACCCAATTAAATATATACAGACCAGAGTGGAGACACAGTGTCTGGGTCTAGCCTAATGTACATCTGGTGAAGTAACTAAGTTAAGTGGCATTAGGTCTTTTATTTGGATGAGCCACAGCATTAATGGACACATATAGTAGATATATGACCAATTGCACAAAACTGCAGGAACACACACCTAGGCTGATACAAGTCGCATTACAAAAGAAAATTTTATTAACATATTTGGTTAAAACAATATAACATAAAATTCAAATATATAAATTAGATAAAGGAAAACAAACATTAAAAACAGAACTACGCTACATCTGAGCACCACAAACCAAAAACGCTATTTAATAAATTTGTAATATCCAAAGCAAACTCCCTGGTGCATCCATGTCTCCATTCTTTATTTTGTTCAGAAATCAGTTAGAAAAATACCCCCTAGCATTTCTGGCCATGGCAATCTTGAGTAAGGGCAGATGATTCATGTAGCATTTACTTCCTTGGCTACAATTTTCATCAAGTTTACAAATGAATATAGTAAAATATGCATGGCCGTCATAACTCATATCAGAGATATTACCATTAAATATAATCCAATGTGATGGATAAAAATTTGAATACTATTGGTTTAATTTGTTATAGTTCTATGTATAATAATGATATACTAGGGGTTATTTACTAAAACTGCATGCTGCAAAATCAGGTGCACCTCTTCAAAAAAAGCCAGGTATTCTTATGTATTTCAATGCAATTCTAAAGTTTAAAAAGTGTGAGTGCAATTTGTTTTTTAATAAAAAAATACCACTATTAATATATTACACCATACGAGGCTTGTTGGTATCTTACGTGGGCAAGGCAAATATGGCTGCATGAATAGACAAGAACTTTAAAGGTACTTCACCCGATATATGGCTGGAGCCATTAGGAAAAAAATGTGGAGAGCCCCTAGTGGGACACAAAAAAATAGGCGTAGGAGGATCTGAGCACTGTTGGAATTTCTGTGGAATATTAAATATGCTGTATTACATTAGTTTGGAGGTGAGAGTTCTGTGAGCACAGAGATGACACTAGTGTATATTGATTTTAGTAGCACAGCAGGAACTTCCTTTGGTGTGGGTGTTAGATGGTCACGGGACAAGATTTCTACCATTTCTACAGCATTTGATACAGTTGAGCTTTTATGGATTAAGTACCTTTATATTGTATATTATTTATTTTGGACTAACCACTTCCCATTCACCCATTACCTATAGACGGCAATTGAAACCAGCACAGATGTGGCGGGCTAACGTACCTGTACATTAGTCTGCATTGGAGGCTCCTTTGTGGCTCACAGAGTGTGCACCCAGGAGCCTAGTATTTCACCATGTGATTGCTGTGTCCAATCACAGCAATCACATAGCATATTAAACAATACAAAGTAAAAGTAAAGATCGGTTCTCTCTATTCTCACTGGGAGAGCAGAGAGAACCAATGCTTCATCATGTGAGTGTACATGCAGCCTGTCAGGCTGCTTGTACACTCACAGAGTGCAGTGCCAGCCACCCCAATGTCCCTGAATACTCCACATTGTAATGTAAATAAAAAATAGAGCCAGCCCCTGTCACCTTTCCCAGCGTTCACAAAAACTCCGCCATACACCATACCAATGTCCTGATGGTCACTGCTATACCATCATCATGATTACAGCCATATGCCATACCAGCACCATGATCGCCATCATATGCCATACCAGCATCCTGATCACCACCATATGACATACCAGCGCCCTGATCACCACCATACACCATAACAGCTCCCTGATCACCGCCATACACTATACCAGTGCCCTGATCACCACCATACCCTATACCAGCATCCTGATCACTGACATACCCCATACCAGTATCCTGATCACCCCATATGCCATACCCCATACCAGAATCCTGATCACCCCATATGCCATACCCCATACCAGCATCCCGATCACCATCTTACCCCATACCAGTATCCCAATCACCATCTTACCCCATGCCAGCATCCTGATTACCACCATACCCCATACCAGTGTCCTGATCACCACCATATCCCATACCAGGGTCCTGATCACTACCATACCAGCATCACCACCATACCTCATACCAATGCCCTTATCACTGCCATACCCCATACCAACGACCTGATCACTGCCATACATCATACCAACATTTTAGGGTGTCACCTGATCAATTTTCAGATATATCTACTATAGTTTATAGACTATAACTTTAACACAGACTAAATAATATACACTGTTGTGGGTTATTTTTACCCAAAAAGTGTCACAGAATACATTTTGGCCTAAATTTATGAGGAAAGATTATTTCTTTGCAAAATTGTATAACAAAAACTAAGCAAAAATGTATTTTTTTCATTTATATAGCAAAAATAAAAACCCAGTAGTGATCAAATACCATCAAAAGAAAGCTCCATTTGTGTGAAAAAAATGATAACATTTCATATGGGTACAGTGTTGCATGACTGCACAATTGTCATTCAAAGTGTGACAGTGGTGAAAGCTGAAAATTGGCTTGTACTGGAAGGGGGTGAAAGTGTCTGGACTTGAAGTGGTTAAAATGGTTATATTGGGAAATGATTCACTATGCTGTAGATGATTATTCCATGTGTGTGTTTTCATCATGTTTATTTATTTATACTCTAACTCATGTGTAGTGAGGATTAGGCACAAACCTTTATAAAATACATGAGCTACAGAAAAAGATCATACGATTCACTATACTGTAATTTTTTACCATGAGTTTGCTGTGCTTTCTGAGCATTTTTAAAGAACAAGTGACTTAAAAACTGCACCACAAATGCTTCTCAGAGGCGTTTTTGAGGTGTTTTTGAGGCGTTCTCTATTGATTTCAATGGGAAAGGCATTTTTAACTCAGCAAACATGCCCAATAGTTGCTGCAAGCAGGAGTTTTTACACTGCACTGCAAGCGCAGCGCCTCAGTGTGAAAACATATATAGAAATACATTCACGTACATAGGGAAGAGTTTTTATGGAGCTTTTCATGAGCTCTTTTTAATGCAAAAAATGCTTCAAAAATTCGTCAGTGTGAAAGTAGCCTAAGACTGAAACATGCAGCCATTTACTAAACAGAAATGAGCAAGCAACACAGTGTTCACAGTCAATCCATAATAGTTAAAAATTCATTCTACAGGATTTTCTTATAAGTCACGCATACGTCACTTTTCTGTAAGATCTCTGTAAGAAACCAAAGGACTGTAGGCAGAACTCCATTTTAATTAATAAAACCCAATATTTCATAATGGTTTGAAAATGGCTGCAACCCTTTATTACTTTATATTATTTTAATGATAAATAAAGTGTATCCAGAAAGCATTCACAGCGCTTAACTTTTGCCACATTTTGTTGTTACCACCGCCTTATTCCAAAATGTATTACATTCATTTTTTTCCTCAACATTCTCTAAACAATACCCCATAATTACAACATGAAAGAAGTTTGTTTTGAAATCTTTGCAATTTATTAAAAATAAAAAACGAAAAAAATCACATGTACATAATTACTCACAGCCTTTGTTCAATACTTTGTTGAAGCACCTTTAACACCAATTACAGCCTCAAGTCATTTTGAGTATGATGCTACAAGCTTGGCACACCTATTTTTTGGACAATTTCTCCCATTTTCTTTGCAGTACCTCTCAAGCTCCTTCAGGTTGGATGGGGAGCATTGGTGTACAGCCATTTTCAGATCTCTCCAAAAATGTTCAATCAGGTTCAAGTCTGGACTTTGGCTGGGCCACTCCAGGAAATTCACAGAGTTGACCTGTAGCCACTCCTTTGTTATGTGGACTGTGTGCTTAGGGTCGTTGTCCTGTTGAAAAATGAACCGTTGCCCCAGTCTAAGGTCCAGAGCGCTCTGAAACAAGTTTTAATCAAGGATGTATCTGTACATTGCTGCATTCATTCGGTTCCTGCCGCTGAAGAACGTCCCCACAGCATGATGCTGCCCCCACCATGCTTCACTGTAGGGATGAGATTGGCCAGGTAGTGAGTGGTGCCTGGTTTCCTCCAGACATGACGCTTGGCATTCAGGGCAAAGAATTCAATCTTTGTTTCATCAGACCAGAGAGTTTTGTTTCTCATGGTCTGAGAGTCCCTCAGGTGCCTTTTGGCAAACTCCAAGTGGGCTACCATTTGCCTTTTACTGAGAAGTGGCTTCCGTCTGGCCACTCTACCATACAGGCCTGATTGGTGGAGTGCTGCAGAGATGGTTGTTCTTCTGGAAGGTTCTCCTCTCTCCACAGAGAAATGCT